GAGGAGGAGGAGGAAAAGGGCAATGATAAAGAGGGATTTTCCGCATGGAAGATTTCTGGGAAAAGCATGTGGAGAAAAAGAGGTCATCAGGGAGAAGAAGAACACTATAACAATGACTGTGCAGATAAGAGAGATGGAGGGAAACCCATCCTGTCCGTCCCCTGACTTCCTATGACCTGCGTGGCGCGTGAAAACGTAGGCAAGTATGTCAACGTCAGGGGGACCGACAGTAAAACGACAATTTTATGGCATAAGCAGCCACACGGAGCAATGAATCAAAGAATGCAAAGTAGATCCTCGGTGAGGATGGATCACGTCAACCGAAATTGATGTTTGTTTGGCTGGGTTCAGTCCTTGCTGGGCTGGAATTTATCCTTGCTGGGCTGGATTCGATCCATGCTTGGCTGCATACAATCCTTCCTTGGCTGTGTAAGGTTCATGCTTGCCTGTGTACGATCTTAGAATTATTGCTGACTATAGACCCTTGGGAGTCGCACGTAATTGTTCCGACATAATTGCGACGCGAAAAAGCCACAAGCCGTTGAGACGCTTAAGTTAACCACCTGCCCCGGCGGCTCGAGCCCTTTAGAGATCGTATCACGCCCTCGGTGATGCGGGCATATGCAAGTTCTCGGACAATTTTCTTCTGTGGGGTGGGTCTTAATCAAATATGCAGATCAAGACAGGACTTATTGCTTGTTTTAAAGATCTGAGAGCTGGACATACGCATTTCCTTTCCTTTTAACCTCCTCTCCCCCCCTCCTCTCCCATCCCTAAACTTGCTCTTTCGGAAGGCATGAGGAAAGCAAAACCCGGAATGACGCCCAAAGTTCCTACTTCATCCTCTTATATTGCATCCCGCCCCTCGTCCACGGTCACGTCCTCCTCCTCTGCCTCACCACCAACCGACTCTCAGATTAGCAGCACCATTCTAGCGCTCACGACCAGGCGCGGTCCCTGTAGAACAATTTGTCCATCCGAAGTCCCTCGCGTCCTGTGCCCCTCAAATTGGCGAGCATACATGCCTCGTGTGCGAGCGGTGGCCATTCGCTTGGCCAAGGAGGGCCTCATTGACATTACACAGAGAGGACAAGTGGTCATAGTGGAGAAGGAGGGGGACATACGAGGTCCCATTCGATTGCGGACAATTTCCGATGGGAATGTTTGCACACAGAGCCAAACCTCTTCGAAAAGCTCTCCAGCGGCAGGGCCGGAAGCTGTCTCTTCCTAAGTCGTGCACATAGTCGGAGAAATCATTTGCTTTAGAAACAGACAGTAACGTGATGCAAGTTAGAAACAAAATAGCATTATTCTTTCTAAATTCGTCTAAAAATCATCTTACGAGTCCATCCAGCAATAAGTTCGACCACTTTACAATCTTTTGTCATGCCTTGAATTCCATGGCGGTGTGTCTGGATACCGGTCTTTCGGACATAGGCGCGTGTTTCCTTGTTCCAGGGTCGCGTCAAGCGCGCAAGACCTGAATGAGCCCGAATACATTTATTAGGAAGCGATTCTGGGCTAACATAGTCGACCATAGCTTTATGAGCGAAGGGGAAATGAACTGCCCAGCCCTTCATCACGTCAGAAGGGATCCACTGTGGCAACATCGCTAGCCTACGTCCGAGAAAAATCCGAATTGGAAAGAGACTTGCCCGTGCCTATCGCTCCCAAGCCCCTGAGTCCCCATCCCCTCTCGCCCCAGCTTGCCCGTGCTATCTTTCCCCCCTCCTTCCTCCCGACAATGCGTCCGCCCCACCACCGCACTCCACCCCTGCCTCCCTTCCTCCCTCTCCGCCCCCGCCCGCTCCCTTGGCTTCCCTTCTGCCTCCTGGAGGACCTGCGGATAGGATTCCCGCAAGGCCTCTCTGAAGCGTGCATACAGCAAGGGCCGCTCGGCTTCCGGGACCCCGCTGATCAAATGGGGGGTGTCTCTTAGGAAGCTCAAGACATGCGGGAGGTTGGACAACGAGACGTAGTTTTGAGTAATGGCCAGGCTCTCCTCCAGGTTCACGACCAGGTGCCACCAGCCTTGGCGAGGGAGGGAGGAAGGAAGGGAGGAAGGGAGGGAGGGAGGGAGGGGAAAGAGGGCAGGTGGGTGGACCGGACGTTTCCTCTTCACAGGCTGCCTCCCTCTCATCCTCCCCCCTTCCTCCCCCTCCCCCTTCTCTTCGCGCCATTTTCTCACCCCGAGGTACGAAGACGATCTCTCCCGCGTCACACACTGCCTCCACCACGCCCTCCCTCCACCCCTCTCCCTCCACTGCCTGCTTGTAGAAGCCCTCCACCCACTCCGTGAGAGTCACTGGCGTGGCCAGATCCAGACCTGGGTGAGGCAATTGAACCAGAGCAGAAAAATCGGGGGACATCAGGCAACAACTATCCATTTTTCATCACAAAGGAGCCGCTCTGCGCCTCAGGCGTCCTGATGCTCCCCCCCAACCGTATACTCGCCGTCAACACTGCAAATCGTCTTTTCTTCCTCCGCACCCTACCTTTCCCCCCTTTTCCCCTCCCTCCCTCCCTCCCTCCCTCCCTCCCTCTCTCCCTTCCTCCCTTCCTACCGTCCGCAGACGGGTGGACCCCGGGAGGAACCAGATGGGGGGGGGAAGAGAATCCACTTCTTCCGCCCCTTGACGACTGCATTCCAGGCGGCCGTCGAGTTGGGATCCTGATGGGAGGAGGGGAAGAGGGTTCGGCTCCGGGTTAAACTGAAGGAGAAGAAGGAGGAGGAGGAGAAATGGTGTATGTGTATATATATACATATTCCCATGAATGTCCTTTTATTTGGTTTGATTTCATTTCATTTTCTTTGGGGACCTGAGTAGAGGAAGGGGAGGGAAGAAGAGAATCTCGAGGATTCGTCCATGAAGGGGGTTTCCTTCGGGACTTCAAGGGAGGGAGGGAGGGAGGGAGGGAGGGAAGAAAGAAAACACTTCCGGCTTTCCGTCTCGGGGGAGGCAATGACAGCCAGAGGGTGGGGGAAAAAGGCAATAGAACGGACCAGTCTTTCCCTACCCAACAACCCGCCC